GTAGAGTGCCATGGCATCACAGCTCACAGCAACCTCCCAACTCCTGGGGTCAAGCGAGTCTCCTGCCTCGGCCTCCCAAGTAGCTGGGACTACAGGCACCCACCACAATGCCTGGCTATTTTTTTGGTTGCAGCCATCATTGTTGTTGGCGGGCCGGGCTGGATTTGAACCTGCCACCTTGGGTATATGTGGGTGGTGCTTTAGCCACTTGAACCAGAATTCTTGAACTTAATTGTCTGACCTCATACAGTAGAACCTCCATAGTTGACCACTTCCCTACATTGACCACCTCCTTAAGTTGACCTAATTTTCATTGACTGGACATATACCATATGTATTCAATGGAAGTTCCTTATGTGGACCACCTCCACATGTTGACCAGTTTGTTAGAGTCCCTTGAGTGGTCAACTTATAGAGGTTCTGCTATTTTGGTGTTATACCCAGATCTTTTTTTTTTTTTTTTTTAGAGACAAAGTCTCACTCCGTCGCCCATGATAGAGTGCTATGGCGTCACAGCTCATAGCAACCTCCAGCTCTTGGGCTTAGGTTATTCTCTTGCCTCAGCCTCCCAAATAGCTGGGACTATAGGCACCCACCACAAGGCCTGGTTAGTTTTTGTTGCTGTTTGGCTGGGGCCGGGTTTGAACCTGCCACCCCAGTATATGGGGCTGGTGCCCTACTCACTGAGCCACAAGTCTGCCCTATACCTAGATCTTGAGTGCCATATTCTCCTCCTGAATTCTTCTGCTCCAACTTGCCAAGGCATAACTGGGTTCTGTAAGAGTTCTAAGAGCTGGACTTGGCACCATACCCCTACCCAGGTTTGTAGGGAAGAACTATGGACAAATCACTCCTCTCTAAGCCCTTGGGCGGAACAACTTAACACCTAGGAAGATAATCACACTGAACTTGGTGTTGCAGATGGACATCAAAGAAATAAAAGGCAAAGTTTGGCACAGCTATAGTAATCTGAGCAGCTGACCTTGGGCTATGGCAGTCTGAGCCTAGGAAGACTGAGTTCCTTTTGGTGTCTTGCTGTATATAGATGTTGGCAGCTCTATCTGGTGTCCACATCTCTCTCTTGCCCACATCAGATGGGGTGGGCTTTACTTTCTGTTCCGCTCAGACTTCTCTGAGCCAGTTATGTGTGTTGAATATCTTCCAATTGTTCCTTCTAATTGCTCAGTGTTCCAGAAGGTGGACCTGTAGAGACTTCCTTAAAGGACTCCCTGGCAGATGCTTACTACCCGGTTCCTTCCCTATGGGGTCACTGATGACTTCAGCCCAAGCAGATGGCCTCTCCTCACACTCCTCTTTCTGGGTCCTGGAAACCTCACTTCTAGTCCTCTAGGCCTAGGGTTGATAACAGTCCTCTTTACTGCATGGCCCCAGGTTACTTCTCCATCTTTTGTGGTTTACCTGGCCACATTTACATAAATGTCCGTATTGGAGTATGCCATTTGTTTGCAACTGGGACCCTGACAGATCACTGTGGTCCAATGGAATCTGGTACCTGCAGCTGTCAGCACCTCCACCCTCCCCTTCCTGTGGGATGACTCTGGGTAAGTCGCTTCCCCTTTCTGGGTCTCTGATTCTCAACATATAACATAAACGTTGTAGACTAACTGATAGCCAAGTCCCTTCTGATTCTAACATGAGACTGCCTGGAACATCCATTCTGAGTTCTGAGTTTTCCATCTGGATGTGGAGGGCATCGCAGGCTAATCTGTCCTCCGAGTGGGTTGCTGTCATGTTAAGTGCCTAACAGCAGCGACGGACAGGTGGGCAGTGCATTTTCCAGCTGCAGCAATGACTTCTGGAGGCGGGCTCAGAAGCACAACTAAGCCCTGCGCACCTCAGGGCTCAAGGGGCTGGGGCTCCAGCAGCTGCGTCTGGGCTCTGTGTGGAAGGAACTGGAGGAAGGCTGGGAGCGCAGGGCTGGAGGTCGAGCCCGCCGTCCAGCTCCAAGTTCCTCTGCCTCCGTCTGCACAGCGAGCCCCTCTAGGTCCAAAAGTCAGTCGTTTCTTCTTTTCGAGTCTCAGTCCCTACGCCAGCAAAGGGCGGACCGGGGTCCCTCTAGTACTGCCAGGAAACGCCCCGGGAGGGGCCGCCTGACGCCCAGGAGGCGCGCGCCGCTAGAACCCGCCGCTCGGCAGTGGGTGCCCACGCGATTGGTGCGCGACGGTCCGCCCCAGCCAATGGGCAGCCAGGGCGTCTCGGGGGCGGGGCGGAAGCCGCGCTTTAAGTCCCTGTGACGCGCTGCAGTAACTGCTGCCCTTGGTCGACGCCCTGAGGGTCGCTTGGCTTCCGCACCCGTCAGGTACCCATGAGGGCTCCGCGCTGCAGCGGTTCTGGCCCCAGCCGGGCCACCCCGACGGCAGCCGGCAAGGCTGGCGGGCGGACGGGCGCGGACCGGTCTCGGGCGTGGTTCCAAAGAGCGTGCTGCAGAGGCTCGCTGGGCCTCAGCCAGAGGGCAAGCGCCTCCCGTGTGTTCCGCTTACTCTGCGGGCGGCTTTGACCCGGCCGGCCTCTAACCACCGGCCGGCGCGCGGCCTCGGTTGGCAGGGGCACGGCGCATCCCTTGCCCAGAGGCCTAAGCCCTGGGTTCTCGGCTTAAGAGAGGCGGGAGGGCGAGCGGGCGAGGCGGGCAGGAAGCAGGGAGAGACTGTGGATGTGGCACCTCCGGCTGCCAGACCGGGCGGAGCCGGCCGGCCCTCTCATCGTGGCCTGTCGGGGCCGGGCCTGCGGCCCAATCGGCCCACAGCCCCCGAGTCTGCGAAGCCTCTCGGGCTTCGGGGTTTCCAGGGAGGAGGCCTTTGGGGCGCCGGGCACAGCAGGCATCCTTGGTTCCTGGGGCGGGCAAGGAGGGCACGTTCTGGGTCCAGGGGGCTGCACAGTAAACCGGTGGCTTTGGTCAAAGGGCGGAGGCACTGTTGAGGAATTTGAGAAGGGCTCCTTCCCTCCCGGGCATCTCAGGGGTCCTGCGGCTAAACCTGTCCATCACCCCTCCCCCGACCTCTCTCTTTCTCTGGCCTTTGTCCAAGTAAAAATAATTATATAGCAACGTGCAGGTTAATTTGGATGGTGTCAAGGAATTGGGACCAACAGGACTTTCAGTACGGAGACCTCATTCTTAGAGTTGTTTACACACATTGCTGAACATCAGTAAATTCTTGGAGCACTTGTCCTCAGTGACCTATGGGCTCCTCCCTTTGTCACTCTTATCTTACCTTCCTGGTGTTCCATTTTACTTTCAGCTAAATTAAAAGAGGGAAAGCAAGAGAGACTTTGGAATGAAGTGGCTTTACTTTAAGAAATTATTAGTCTTCCAGTTATTCTCAATTCTAAAGCTCTCCTTTTGGGGTTGTAAGAGTTTCTGTAGGAAAATAGTCCTTTCAGTAGAACCTGGAACTCTGTGTGTGTGTGTGTTTTTTTTTTTTTAGGTTGTAATCTATTACAATCTTATCCCTTTGGAATAAACAATAGACTCTTTCATTAGAATATCCTTCTTTAGAAAATCTAATTCTTTTCTTTTTTCCTAAATTCATATGGTGAAATAGCTCTTGACTATGACAAAGATGAAGGTAGAATCCTTTTAATAAAAACAAAGTTTAAATTAAAAAGCTTATTATTAGGGATTCACAGTTTTTTTTTTGTTGTTGTTGTTTTGTTTTGTAGAGACAGAGTCTCACTTTTTCCGGCCTCGGTAGAGTGCAGCAGAGTCACTCCAGCAACCTTCAACTCCTGGGCTTAGGCAATTATTCTGCCTCAGCCTTCCAAGTAGCTGGGACTACAGGCGCCTGCCACAACGCCTGGCTATTTTTTGTTGCAGTTTGGCCGGGGCTGGGTTTGAACCCGCCACCCTCGGTATATGGGCCCGGCACCTTACTCACTGAGCCACAGGTGCCTCCCAGGGATTCACAGTTTTTCATGTTGTTTAAGATTATTAGTTCTGTGTCCCCTCTGCCAAAGAAAAATCCACTTTAATTAGTAAAAATTCTTTTTTTTTTTGAGACAGAGCCTCAAGCTGTCCCCCTGGGTAGAGTGCCGTGGCATTACAGCTCACAGCAACCTCCAACTCCTGGGCTAAAGCGAGTCTCCTGCCTCTGCCTCCTGAGTAGCTGGGACCACAGGCGCCCCCCACAAGGCCTGGCTATTTTTTGGTTGCAGCCGTCATTGTTGTTTGGCGGGTCCGGGCTGGGGATTTGAACCCGCCACCTTAGGTGTACGTGGCTGGCGCCTTAGCCGGTTGAGCTATAGGCGCCGAGCCTAGTAAAATTCTTAAAAGGGGCTCAGCGCCTGTGGCTCAAGCGGCTAAGGCACCAGCCACATACACCTGAGCTGGCTGGTTCGAATCCAGCCCGGCGCACCAAACAACAACGACAGCTGAAATCAAATAATAGCCGAGCGTTTTGGTGGGCACCTGGAGTCCCAGCTACTTGGGAGGCAGAGGCAGGAGAATCGCTTGAGCCCAGGAGTTGGAGGTTGCTGTGAACTGTGATGCTACAGCACTCTACCCAGGGGGATATTTTGAAGCTCCGTCTCAAAAAAAAAAAAAAATTCTTAAAAGGGCATTTTTTTCCTCAAAGCAACTGTTTCAGGTATTTTCTCTGTAGTCTGGCTTTGTTACATTATTGTGTGCATATTTTATGCTTTTTACTATGTTCTTTTGAGGATGGGTCAAATCTCATCCATTTTGAAATAATGATGAATGTACAAAATTTTGGAGGTGTGTGGAGGGCGCGGTGCAGTTGACCCAATCCTATTTCAGAAGTAATGCTTTAGTTGTTTGCCAATGTTGCACTTAAGTTGTGTTTCAGCCAGAATACTGATTACGTTAAAAACAAACAATTCTTGTTGCCAGAATTAAAAAAAAAAAAAAAGACCTATATTTGTGAATGGTTACCTCAAGAAAAGTAAATATTTGACAAAAATGGCAAGTCAAATTTACTCAAGTTGAATATTTAAGTGGCTTTTGGATGACTTTACGTTGATATTTGTTTAGAGTAATTTAAGTAAATAGTATTTAATACTTAGTGTAGGCTAACTTACCTCTTCAAAATGCAGCCTTTTATGGAAATTGTGCTGATAGGACTGGTAAGATGGGGGAGGTGGTAATGGTAGCCTCAAGGACTATGTTAATTATGAGGATTATTTTAAAAACTTCAGTGTTAAAATTTCACCTTGTCAATAGTAATTTGTTCTCATTTCTAGGACCTGAGTGTGGGCTTCAGTTAAATGTATGACAATGGCCTGGAACATATTATATTGACCTTTAAAGGCCATTAATCTAATGAAGGGAAATTCTTTTTTTTTTTTTTTTTAGGTTTTTTTTTTTTTTTTTTTTTTTCTTTTTTTTTTTTTTTTTTTTTGGCCGGAGCTGGGTTTGAACCCGCCACCTCCAGCATATGGGGCCAGCGCCCTACTCCTTGAGCCACAGGCACCACCCAATGAAGTGAAATTCTGATGAAAAGATTATTTATTCCAGATGAGGTTAGAGTAATCACTGCCTCTTAAAAGTTAGACTCAACATGGTTAGAAATAGATGATTTCACGATCTCTCGTGGTCACTTGCTCCTTACCTTGACTCCCTCTGAAGTCTTAGGTGTATTTAACAAAGAAAACGGTGGCTGGAACCTGGGCTGGGTTCTAGGGATGCAAAGTGAATTTTAAGTACAACTACTTTCCTTTTAAAAAGGTTAGAATATAGTAGGGAAACAGGCATGAAAACAAGTGTATTGAAGTGTTAGGACTGGTGACAAAAGTCTGCCAAGTCTTAGGAGTCTTCAGGAAGAACTTAGGCAGTACATTTTATAGGGGAAGGTGAAAAAAAAGCTAGTGTATATAGTATTTATGCACAGAAAAAAGTCAATGGTTATGAAATTGCAGGTAATTTTCTTGCCTATATTTTCTAATTTTTTATCAACAGAAAAATTTTACTTTTAAGAAAAACCAGTTTCGGGTGGTGCCTGTGGCTCAAGGAGTAGGGTGCCGGCCCCATATACTGGAGGTGGCGGGTTCAAGCCCAGCTCTGGCCAAAAATTAAAAAAAAAAAAAAAACAGTTTAAAAAAGAAAACATGGCACAGTTGATTTTTATATTTCAGAAACTGGCTGGTTCCCTTGTGAATTTAAGAGCAGAGGGAAACTAAGGGTGGCCATTTCATGCTGGGTGTGGAAAGTTAAATCTAGTCCCTTAATCCTAAGTAATGCTTCCACCTCATTTTACAAATGGGGAGACTGTAGCTCAGAAAGACTTATGAAACCCAGAGATACTCTTTAAGAGCCAGAGACAGAATTTAAATCTTTATCTCTAGACTCCCTTGGTTTTCCAAACTGTTTTAAGAAGAGGAGATTATTGATGTTGGCTATATTTAAATTGATCTTGATTCTGTGCTGATATTTCCCATTTAGGGCCAAGCACAGTAACTTGAACATTGGAAGGTTCTGTAATAGAAGTGTGTTTATGGGATTCTGATACATCATGATGCATCCAACGCTGACCTTTCTCAGTTGAATTAAGCATCCAGACTTCATCTTTAATGGCCTTAAGCATGAGAAATAGTAATGTTTTGAGTGTACTGTTTGTTACTAAGTTATAATTAATCCTGCCTGAACTGAGTAGATAAATGGATTTTTTGTTTCATTTCTCTTGGGAATTAGCTGAACAAATATAACTGGAGAGTGTTGAATTTACTTAATTTCAAGGTTCTTTTCACTTGCAGTCTTTCATAATTAAGATGCTATTCAGAGGGTTTTAGTAATTTTTTTGAGACAAAGCTTCAAGCTGTCCCCCTGGGTAGAGTCCCGTGGCATCACAGCTCACAGCACCCTCCAACTCCTGGGCTCAAGCGAGTCTCCTGCCTC